TTGTTGTTGTTAATTTGCTAGAGGATGTATACACTTCCTGCAGATGAGGCAGGGGAAGAAAGAGAAATCAAAAAAGAACTACCCAGAGGGAATGGTCACACCACAATCCCTTCTCCTTCATTCTCCTCTCAGGAGTTTGGGCACACATGCATACTCACCTGCTGTGTTTTCAAGCCGGGGGCGGGGATGGCCATGCCACAATCCCTTCTCCTCCACTCTCCTCTTGGGATCTTGGGCACACATGCACACGCGCCCGGCGTGAGGTTTTTTTTTTTTTTAGAGGTTTTTGCTATAGGGCGTGTGCGCTTGCCAGACAGAGAGAGACTGAGAGATAGAAAGCGAGAAATCACCCCCCAGGGGGGATGGCCACACCGCAATCCCTTCTCCTCCATTCTCCTCTTGGGATCTTGGGCACGCATGCACATGTGCCTGGTGTGAGTTTTAAACCACAGGGTCCGGGACGCGAACCGTGGTCGACTATGTGGGAGTTCAGTGACATAGCCATTACGCTAACTGCTGGTCCCTAAAACGCATTCTTAATTCAAGGGCTGTATAAAACCACACAAGTAGGATCTGGCCCACAGGGCCAGTTTACCAACCCTTGGCATAGGTCATCTTGGCACACACTCCTCACTACAAAGATTTGAAAACTGAGTGTCTGAAGAGCTAAAATGTCTTTTTCAAGGTAATTCGAGTTTAGTGGCAGAGATGTCATTAACATTTGAATGGTCCTCACCCCCCAGTTAGTGTTCTGGCCACTGCCTACAGGGCTTCTCAGCTTAGATTTAAGTGTGGCTTGGTCAGGACACTGCATGCTGCTGATTACATAAGCCCAGTCTGCACAGTCCTTTTTACTAAATCAGAGTTTTATTTGCATCTTTTTGCAACAGACTTGAAGAGTCATAGTTGAAGAACTTTTCATTGCTGTGGAAGAAAGATAAATTATAAGCATTTAGCTGTTTCATTTGAACAGTTCATCTGCTGTAAATCAACAATAGGTCATTTAATGAGCAAGCTAATTAATGATGAATAAGAGGCATAAGAATACCCTTGCTTTTTATGAGCTATTCTAGCTTATAGGTTTGGATATAGATTGGGGATGGTCTGTGAACTTCTGTTTAAAACATGGTTGGGAAGTTTGATTTGTTCTAAGGTTTGGTACTATTTGAAAAATCTTCAGAAAAATTGGTCTATGTCAGAAAGTTAGGTTTATTTAGGGGACCAGCAGTTAGCGTAATGGCTATGTCGCTGGACTCCCACGTAGTCAACCGCGGTTCAAGTCCCGAACCTGGTGGCTTAAACTCACGCCAGGCGCGTGTGTGTGCGTGCCCAAGATTCTGAGAGGAGAATGGAGGAGAAGGGATTGCAGCGTGGCCATCCCCCCTGGGGGGTGATTTCTCACTTTCTATCTCTCTGGTGAGCGCACGTGCCCTATAGCAAAAACCTTTCAAAAAAAAAAAAGTTAGGTTTATTTAGGAAAAATAGTAATATTGAATATTCACTATGTACCAAACATGATTTTCATTTAATTCTCATGGTAACTGTATGAGGAAAGACTACTATTATTGCCATTTTATAGAGAAGGAAAGTAAAGCACAAAGAGGTTAAATAACCTGCCCAAGAGAGTGGTTAGACCAGGAATCAAACTCAGGCAATCTTTCTCAAGCGCTCATATTCATAGGGTGAAGGAATTAAAATACCAACTTCTGTTAGCGCAGTCATAGAGATGACAATGCCAAGCATAATACTGTTGATAACCACATTCAACTTCCTAACTTTACAGATGAGAAAAATGAGTCTTAGCAGACTTTTCCGGGGCACATATCCAGTTTACTTGAGACTCCAAAATAAATCTCAAAGTTCCTAACTAGTAGGTCACTTAGTTGCTTTTATTTTTCTATACTGAGTGCCATTCAAAAACCAAACTGATTAGGGACCAGCAGTTAGCGTAATGGCTATGTTGCTGGACTCCCATGTAGTCAATGTGGTTCACGTTCCGGACCCGATGGCTTAAAACTCACGCCGGGTGTGTGTGCATGCGTGCCCAAGATCTCAAGAGGAAAATGGAGGAGAAGGGATTGCAGTGTGGCCATTCCCCCTGGGGGGTGATTTCTCGCTTTCTATCTCTCTGTCTCTGTATGTCTGGCGAGCGCACGTGCCCTATAGCAAAAACCTCTCAAAAACAAAACAAAACAAAACAAAACACCAAACTGATTAGAATAGAATGAGTAAACATATAAAACTGTAGGTCAGTTGCAGAATTTACATGGGTCACACACAAGTAATAAAACAGTCCCAGGGGCCAGCAGGTGGCATAGTGATGAAAGAAGTGGACTCCCACATGGTTGACCGCAATCGAGTCCAGTCCAACCCGGCAGCATGAAAATCACACTTAGTGTGTGTGAAAGCATGCCCAAAATTCCAAGATGAGAGTGGAAAAAAGGATTGTGGGGTGGCCATCCCCGTGGGGGGAATATTTCTCACTCTTCCTCTCTCTGTCTTTCTGTGTCTCTTGTAAGCCCATGTGCTCTATAGCAAAAACTCTCTTAAAAAAAAATAAAACAATCCTGATAGAAGGTCCAAAATTAATTTTAAACTACTTAAAGTAAAACTCGATATAATAATTAAAGTAATTACAAGACAAACTATGTATATTAAGTCTCAATAAAATAGTTTAAAAAAAGACAAATTAAGTTTTGTCACTCGTCTTTGTTAGAGGCTGGGATAAATAACAGAATTAACGTCCATTTTTCACATTTAAAAAGGGAAATGGGGCCAGTCGGTGGTGAAGACAGCTGGGTCCCACATGTCCAACCTGTGCAGTTGAGTCCTAGACCTAGCAGCTTAAGAGACATGCCTGGCCTGTGTGTGTTCCCAAAATCTTGGAAGGAGAAATGGAGGCTATCGCAGCATGACCACCCCTGCATGAGGGGATGGGTGCTTTCTTACCTTTTCTCTTCTCCAACAAGCATAAGTGCCCTCTGGTAACTTAAAAAAAAAAAAAGATAGCTCTTACACTTAATGTATTTATTTAATTTATTTATTATTAATTTTTCGCTATAGGGCATGTGTGCTCACCAGAGTGAGACAGAGAGACAGACAGATGAGGGGGTGGGGAGAAAGAGAGAAAGTGAGAAAGTAAGCCACCAGGACTCTAACTGCGGTTCACCACGTGGGAGTCCAGAGCCTTACCCATCACACCACCTGCTGGCCCCTGTAATTTTTTTTTTTTTAATGATTTTACTTAACTTTATTTATCCATTTACTTTTTAATTTGACCAGAGAAGGACAGAGAGAGAGAAAGTGAGAAAGCAAGCCGCCTGTTCAGGTCCGGGACTTGAACTACAGTTGGCCATGTGGGAGTCCAGCATCCTTAAGCACCATGCCACCTGTCGGCCCCTGTTTTTTTTCTTTTTTTAAGTAACTGTTGATTGGAAGGCAAACTAGGGCTGGAAGAAAACACATAATTTTATTTCCTTTTCCTTTTTCTCAATTTTACAATGTACATTTAGTTTGAAGTCTTTTTACTGCAACAAAGATACTATAAATAAACTTAGGGCCGGTTGGTGGTGTGGTGGTTAAGGCTGCTGGATCTCACATGATTAGCCATGCAGTTCAAGTCCTGGACATCACAGCTTGAAAAACACCTAGGCACATGTACATGTCTGTACAAAATCCAGAGAGGCGTGGAGAAGGGATGGCAGCCTGGCCATCCCCCACCTGGGGGGGGTGCTTTCTCACTTTTTCTCTTCATTATATGGGGGTTGCACTGCCCTACGGCAAATTACGAAATAAATGAATAGACACATTTAGTACTTAAAAAAAAAAAAACTACCCTTTTTAGGTAGAGAACTTCTATTTACATTCATTCACTTAACATTTTCTCAATACTGAAAGTGGGTATCGTGTGCGGGACATTCGGGATACACAGGAACAGGACACAGGCTGTCTCTAGGCAGCTTACAGCATACAGGCGAGGAGACATAGAAACAGACGTTTGTCAACAATAACACATAGCTTGTGTCAAAATACAATGAGAGGTGAATCTCATAGTTGGTACCTAAGACACGGATCATTTCGGAATTCTTACGGTTTTTTTTTCCTCCCCAAACACCAAACGCTCAACGCAGGGCGTGTGCAGTATTATCACAATTTCAAAACACATATGAGACAAATTTATGTTAAAACATGTCATTTTACTACTTGCCGAGTGTTAAAGCCTTTCAAAACCATTCCGTTCGGGGGCTGGAAAGCCCTGCGGCGCTGCAGTATCGGTATTGCTGCTGACGCGGACGTTTCCAGCGTCACGTTTGCTGGGACTCTCCGCCGCTCGGGGAGCGGTGCATGCTGGGACTTGCAGTCCTCCCAGGCGCAGGCAAGCCCACCTCCATCATGAAGCACTGCTCCCTTTACCTTTCCGGCCCAACGGGTGCGTTAAGCTAAACCTCAGCAAAACCTGATAAACCTCGCATTCCACAAACACCGCGGGTCTCATGACGCTCAAAGCCTTTACGGACGGGGCTCTTCCGCGCAAGCCTCAAGGAGATTGGTCCGTCTTCAGCAGTGGGCGGAGCCCTGGGTGAACCGGAGCTCGGGATTGGCCAGTTGTCGACGTGCGGGGCGTCGTTTTGACATCCACCGCCGATACACACAGAGAGATCAAAAAGCCAGTCTTTCCCACAGTGCGCGTCTTCGCCGGCGAAGCCTCGCGATAGTTCAGCTGGGGGACTGAGAGACGCGTAGAGAGCGGCCGGGGACGGTGGGGGTGGCGCGCACCGGGGCCGCGGAGGGGCAGGTCC